AGTTATTGTCAACCTTTACATGTATTCATCTGGGCCCTAAAGAAGAAATCAAAATTAAGAGCTTGTTCTGCAAATGGATTTCCAAGTATAGCAACTATACTTACCAAGTATAGCAAGTTTAACAAACAGGCTCAATAAAAGCAGTCTCCACTTCTCTACAATAAATGAAGAGGTTGCTCATATCCTCAGCTAGATTTAGCATTTGTCCTATCTTTATCTTTTAGCTTATACCATTGCATTTTGTGTGTTGATAAAGATTTTAATATACACATTTTGAACACCAGCCTTTTAAATCAAAGTGCTCAGTCAAAACCCTTTCTTCCTGGTTTACAAAGAGATGAATTTAACCAACAGTCTATGGTTCTAGTACTTGTCCATATTTAATTTCACTGCCAATTAGGATTTCTCAAGCCTCCTGAATAAATTCCTACATAACAGTGAATGTCTTTAAAATCTGAGCAAAATGTCGATGTCATTCAGATGTGAAGACCTATTACAAGATTGAAATAGATTTCTAATGCATATTTTATACATTTTTCGTAGCATGTGATTTAAATCAGAAAAAAAAATGACAAACGGTTTGACACTTTTTTCACTCATGTACACCAAAATATAATATGCTTCGACTAGCTTTTGGCTATTATGGACCTTAACATACAATGTGACCTTGGTCTGAAAAAGCATGTTTGGTTAGCACAGAAACTTAATCATAAGAAGTCATAAGTAGAATCCTTCTTCTTTACTGCCCTTTTCTAGGTTTAGGAAATTTATTGCTTGTGGGACAGATAGGATATGAACAATGGGCCAAATAGAGTCCAGGGTTATCTCATCTGTGTGAAAACTGCTGCTGAAAATCGATGTGACCTCTGCTACACTGTCATCCCAGTTCCCACCCTCTGTGTACTATTTGTCTTTTGGTAGAAGCTTAGATCTGTGTGCTGTCTCTATGTATCTCTCTTGGGCCAGATTATCAAAATGAATCATAGCCTGCATACCTCTTATATTTCTATTTATTTTCCTGGTGTTGACTAGGTCCGATGAAATATGATTCTTTTTGCATTTGATCCTCACTGCGGCAAGCAACACCTAATTCAACTGTGTCCATCTCTTTAAAGAAGAGTAATGCTATTTTGAAACTTCAATCTACTGTACAGCAACATTACAAACCATAGACCATGCAACCTGTCTTCATAGTCAATAGTAATGTTCCTTTCAGCCCATTCAATGGCATTTACTTCATCTCCAAATAGAAGACTTCTGGGAATTTTAATGTAGTTTTAATTTTGTTTTATGCACACTGAAAATATTGCTTTCATTTTGGGTACCTTGTTTGTAGAATACCCCTCAGATTCTTACCAGTGAGATTACTTGTGTATAGAGTGATATATAACAAATAATCCATTAATTTTAAGAACTCTGCCCTGATACAAAATGTTTATTCAGGGGAAACATTATATTACCTCTGAATCAGCAGGATGTCAATGTTCTAACTTTGTAGCAGTTCATTTTGTAAAAATAGATCTTCCAGGCTACATAAATTCATACTTTAAGATTTATAAACATCAATACAAAGGTGTAAAACCTCCCCACTTATTATCAATAAATCAGTATTCTATACATTTGTCATGTGCAGAAAACAAAATACTAGCTAAATACAGACTTCAAACAATATAAATAGGACATAATATTGCTTGGTTAGGTTTTAAGAAATGTGCTTTATAAGCATTAGAGATGATGCCTAAAACAATTTAGAATTTAGGGGTTTTTTTAGAATTTAGTTTTTTAATGACATATTTCAAATGTTCCAACTTTGTAATTGAAATAGATCATAGAATTTCTGATAATGTGTTCATTCCCTCTGGAATACTTCATCTCTTCCAAAAATACCACTGGCAAAGAAGAAAGGAAGGAAGGAAGGAAGGAAGGAAGGAAAGAAGGAAGGAGGGAAGGAAGGAAAAAGTTTAGGGTTAATTTTACAAGGGAATTGTACAAAACACATGCATCATGCATTTATACTCAAAATTTTTTTTAAATTTTTTTAAAGATTTTATTTATTTATTTATTTGACAGAGAGAGAGAGAGAGAGAGATAGTGAGAGCAGGAACACAAGTAGGGGGAGTGGGAGATGGAGAAGCAGGCTTCCCGCCGAACAGGGAGCCCGATGCGGGGCTCAATCCCAGGACCTTGGGATCATGACCTGAGCCAAAGGCAGACGCTTAATGACTGAGCCACCCAGGCGCCCCTCAAAAATTGTTTTTAAAGTTTTATGAAAAAAACAATTCCTAAGAATACGTTCATTATAGCTTCTTGTGCTAAAAGAAAATTAACAGATTAATTTATACATTTTATTGAATTCTTTAAGACAAATAATGCTTTTTATAACATTTTGGATTCAAATAATATGAAACTGTTCATTCTATAAAATAATTGTTCAGCATTTTTTATCCATATAGATTTTGGAGAATTGGAATTTGTAAAAAAAAGAAATTGAAAATGGTGATCTTTATTAAAAACATTTTATGCTGTCCCATTAAAAATCTCACAGAAAGTTCTCACAATTCTATGCCATAGCTTCCCATTCAGTAAATGGAGCATACCATTTGCTATGGAGCAAACCATGACTATGAAATCTGTGTGATTCAAGACTCTGCATACTACATGTATAGGCTGCTTGTAATTGAAAAATTAGCTCTAACTATATGATAAATCCATATTCCTATCCCTACTGGAACCAGAACCAATAGCTAAATTTTTGTGAAAATTAGTTAGGTCCAGATTCAAGCCTAGGTTTTTTTGTTTTTTTCTTGAATGACTCTCACAATATATAGGGTCACTGAAAAGTTTTTTGACTAAGGAGATGCATATTTTCAAACTTTGCTTGTGCCCAGTTACCGAAATGAAGAGACTCTAGTGAATAGAGTAATTTTGTTTGAGATGCTATGATTCACCCATCATGCACTGCTGTTGAAGCCATTTAAGAATACCAGGGTTTGAAAGATACAGATATAGTAAGATGAAGGGGCACCTGCACCCCAACATTCATAGCAGCAATGTCCACAATAGCCAAACTGTGGAAGGAGCTGAGATGCCCTTCAACAAATGAATGGATAAAGAAGTGGTACATATATACAATGGAATGTTACTCAACCATCAGGAAGGATGAATACTTACCATTTACATCGACATGGATGGAACTGGAAGTTTTATGCTAAGTGAAAAAGTCAATAAGAGAATGACAATTATCATATAGTTTCACTCATATGTGGAATATAAGAAACAGTGCAGAGGACCTTAAGGGAAGGGAGGGAAAACTGAATGGGAAGAAACCAGAGAGGGAGACAAACCATGAGAGACTCCTAATTATGGGAAAGAAATTGAGAATTGCTAAAGGGAGGTGGGTGGGGGGATAAGGTAACTCGGTGATGGGCACTAAGGAGGGCATGTGATGTGATGAGCACTGGGTGTTATACACAACTGATGATTTGTTGAACACTACATCTGAAACTAATGAAATGTTGGCTAATTAAAGTTAAACTAAAAAAATTACCAGGTTTTGGGGGTGCCTGGGTACCTCAGTTAAGTATCCAACTCTTGATTCAGCTATGGTCATGATCTCAAGGTCATGAGATTGAGCCCTGTGTTGGGCTCTGTGCTAGTTGGGAGTATGCTTGAGATTCTCTCTGTCACTCTTTCTTTGCCCCTTCCCTCCATTCTCTCTCTTTTTCAAATAAATAGATGAATTAAAAAAAAAAAAAGAATACCAGGATTTGTTTTGCTACCTTCCAAGATTATTTCTTTGTAGCAGTTTATTTTTACCTATGTCAAAAACGTCCCAGTTTATAATTGCAGGGAAAAATTTGCTGTCTGGTTCATACATCTAACTTAAAAAAATGTCCAGTCAGAATTCAAGTACACAGTCAAGTAGTTAGCTTCTCAGTGTAAGAGATGATTCTTTTTGTAATTAGATATATCTGTTTAAAGCATCTTATTAAACAAAAATTCTATTGGTGTCTCTTTATCTGAAACTAAGAGAGAATCTTGTTAAAGTAATGAGAATGTGGGAGAAGATAATATAAAAATAAAAGGGCAGAAATGATACAACTTGTGTTTTTACACCACAGGTAATATTTTTTCATAAGTAGTATTCTTCAAAATAAAATTTAACATCGGAAATAATCTAAATGCCTGTCAGCTAGTGAATAATTAAACAAAAAGCAATGTATCCATGTAATGGAATACTTTTCAGCAATAAAAAGAAGAAACCACTGATACATGCTACCACATGGATGAAAGTCAAAAACATTATGCTAAGTAAAAGAAGCCAGACATAAAAGACCACATATTGTATCTATCTGTGTAAAATATCCAGAAAAGGTAGTCCTATAGAGGCAGAAAGTAGATTAGTTATTACCACGGACTGGAGGGTGGGAGAAGGACACTAACTGTAAATGGGCATGAGGGGTAATTTGAGGGTGATCAAGATGTTCTAAGATAGATTTGCGATAATGGTTGCACAACTCTGTAAATTTACTAAAAAACATTGAAATATACACTTAAAATAGGTGAATTTTATTGTGTATGAATTATATTTTGATAAAGCTATTAAAGAATGGAGGTGATAGATGATAGATAGATGATAGAGAGATAGATAATTGATGATAAATGACAGATTTGAAAAGGAAAACAAACAGTGTATGCTTTACAAGGAGGGAATCTGACTAATTTATAGGTATTCATAAACATATCATAAATGTATTTCTCCAAGTCTCATGCCTCTTTAGCAATAAATGTTGTTTCATTTTTCACTGATTATTTACTGATACATTTATTTTAAGAAACTAGAAGCAGCTGGGGAATAACTATAACTTCCAATTAAGACTGTTCCATCATCTAGTTTTACAAACAAAATATTTATAGATGTTATTAGAGGTAAAGGAAACACAGTGAAAATTTTGACCTGTTAATTGTGAACATTCTGATATTAATTTTGTTTTTTCCAGAAGAAGTATCATTTCAAATTCCAATGATGAGGTCACCCTTGGACAAGATCCAACTGACTCCTGGGCAGGCATTGCCTCCTGGATTCCCTGGACCGTTCATTTTTGCTGATAGTCTGTCCTCCGTGGAGACTCTGTTGACCAACATTCAGGTCAACAATATTTCTATAAACAAAATAAATGTAATACAAGACATTAGCATCTACATTAATTATTTCAGATTTGAGTAACTAAAACAGATAAGATGAACTGCATGTCATTTGCTGTACTTTGACAGGGCCTACTGAAAGTGGCTTTGGATAATGCTCACATCCAGGAGAAGCAGATTCAACAAGAAAAAAAGGAACTGCGAATGGAGCTCTATAGAGAGAGAGAAATTAGAGAAAACCTTGAAAGACAGCTCGCAGTTGAGCTTCAAAGCAGAAGTAAGTTTAACAAGTTCAATTACAGAATAAATATTTTGTTGTAGATATTCTCAATAGTAGTAGAAATATTCTCAGGGATAGCTTGGAACTACTGAAAAAATGACAAGATAAGAATCAAATACTGTGTGTAATCCACATAGTAAGATATTTATACTATTTCTCTTATAAAAGATAATGAAATAGATCTGGACTTCAGGCCACTTGCAGATTTAGAAAATATGAATATTCTTAGTTTTCTCACAATTTTATAAAATACCCTGGATCTAAACAATCTAATAATTTCTTGTAGATGAAATGCTTAATCTTTGCCCAGAACAGTGCTAGATTCTGGGGATTTAAGATAAATAAAACACAGTCCCTGTCCTGGAGAGATTTACATTTTAGAGGGCTAGCACAATCAACCAGTTAATTTCAAGACAAAGTGGAAAGAACAATGATGCACAGTATTTATGGTTATATAGAGAATGGGTAGTTAGTTCAGCTTGGTGGGGGAGTTAATGATTGAGAAAAGGTTTCTGATGCTAATACTTGAATCTGAAGATCAGTAGGCTAAGAAAGGGCATGAGAGTATCTGAGTGATTTGGACATTCTAGATAGAGGTTTCAGTGAGCATAAACATGAAGGCAAGAAGCCTCATACATTGACAACTATAAAGTTTGTTATTACTGTGGCTCTGAATTTTATGAAGTGAACTGTGAGAGATGATGGGGAAAGATGAGGGTAAAAGCTAAACTGTAAAAGACATTTTTAACCATGTGGAAGATTAGCTTGGATTTTGTCTTATAGGTGATGGGAAGTAGTCAAAGATAAGCAGGGGGATGATCTGGTCTGATTTAAATTAGACCACTTTGGTATTGGGAATAGATTAAAGAGGGCTTGGAGTAAGACTAAAAACAAGGAAATTATGTAAAATGAGTTTGCTCTTGGCAGTGGGGGTGAGGACTGAACTAAGATTCCATAAGTAAGGATGGAGACAAAAGAGAGAGAATGGAGAATTAATGTTCACAAATAGAATAACTTTCCAACCATGGGGAGACATGAGATTATGTACAGATATGGATAAAGAGACTAGTTCATATCAACACCAGAGAAAATTTAAAACTTCACTTCAGCTAATAATTTCCACCTTTTCCTTACATTTACCATAAATTACTAAACAGCAAGGAAAGTGATGATTGTGAATTTCAACCTCTTCTCTTCTCTGCTTACTCTTCTATGGAAGGGTCACTAAGTAAAAATTCAATAAAATAATTAAAAGAGTGGGAAGGAGAGGCAAAGAAAGGGAGAGAAAATCCACAAGGTAGATAATGTCTCCTTAAACAAGGAAGAATAATTCCAGTTGAGTGAAATCCACTAACTTTTCATTATTTCAGAGTAGTATATTATATTCCAAAAATTTTGGCAAGTAATTGAAAACTTACTGTATATTTTCCTTAAGGCCTGGGAACCACTGTTAGTCTGGTTCAAAATATAAATTCAGTCATTGCATTTAAAAATAATTAAACCTGTTTAAAAAATAAAATCTTTTTTAAATTTAATTTAATTTTATTGTGTTATGTTAGTCACCATACAATACATCATTAGTTTTTGATGTAGTGATCCATGATTCAGTGTTTTCGTATAACACCCAAAAATAAAATCTTAAAAAAAATGGGGGGTACCTGGTTGGCTCAGTTGGTAGAACATGTGACTCCTGATCTCAAGGTTGTAAGTTCAAGCCATACATTGGTTGTAGAGTTTACATAAATAAACAAATAAATAAAATCTTAAAAACAAAAGAATTAAACCTCTCCTTATCTTGCCAAAGTCATTAAATACTATTAAGCAAAAGCTAATTTGTCTTTTAAAGTTTAGAAAAAAATCATTTATTTCTGGGATTTGTTATACAAAATAGATTATTATGATTAGCAGTCATAAAAACATATTTTTAGTAAGATAATTTTTATACTAAAGAACCTAATAATCATATGTTAAATATAATAACATTCTGATTGACTTCTACATATCTACTACATAGAATAAAAATGGCTTCTAAGTTTTGTGCTCATACCGGTTTCTGTTTATTAACTTCTCATAGACACTTCAGGTCTATCTTTATAATTATTATGACATCAATTGTCTTTTAAAGAGGACTAGACATGGTAGGGGAGCCTGGGTGGCTCAGTTGGTTGAGCATCTGCCATTGGCTCAGGTTGTGATCCTCGGGTCCTGGGATCGAGCCCAGAGTTGGACTCCCTGCTCAGTGGAGAGCCTGCTTCAACCTCTTTCTCCCTCTCCCTCTGCTCCTCCCCCCATCTCAAGCTTTTACCCTCTCCCTTGCTTATGGCTCATGCTCTCCCCGCCTCATGCTTTCCACAACCCCTCTCATGCTCTCAAATAAATAAATAAAATCTTTAAGAAAAATAAAAATAAAAATGGCCTAGACATAGTAGATGCAGTATTTTATCTACTATCAAACTTATTCTGAAGTATTTGTATTTAATAAATGTAGCATATTATGATCTAATAATAATACCACTGCTACTACCATAACATATCCCATCATCACTACTACTATCATTACTGCCACTACTACTAGTACTACTACTACTGGCTAATGTGCTAAGCACTGTTTTTAACATTTATATACAATGACTAGCATAATTATAGGAACCTACTCTGTTAACCTCATTGAGTTAGAAAAAAATTATGTACTTCATCTCTGTAAACCTCAGTATCCTCATCTATTCCAATAGTTGAACTGGAAAATCACTTAAAATTCTTTCTAGTTCCCTAAATATCTCATATCCAGTATAACTAACTTTTTATGACAAAGGGTGAACTCTATCTGAAGTCATATGATTGAAAAGAAAGAGGGGGGGACAAAGATACAATGTAGGGATCTGAAGGGGTACGTGCACCCCGATGTTTATAGCAGCAATGTGCACAATAGCCAAACTATGGAAATAGCCAAGATGTCCATTGACAGATGAATGGATAAAGAAGATGTGGTATATATATATACAATGGAATATTATGCAGCCATCAGAAGGAATGAAATCTTGCCATTTGCAACGACATGGACGGAACTGGAGGGTGTTATGCTGAGCAAAATAAGTCAGTCAGAGAAAGACATGTATCGTATGATCTCACTGATATGAGGAATTCTTAATCTCAGGAAACAAACTGAGGGTTGCTGGAGTGGTGTGGGGTGAGAGGGATGGGGTGGCTGAGTGATAGACACTGGGGAGGGTATGTGCTATGGTGAGCACTGTGAATTGTGTAAGACTGTTGAATCACAGACCTGTACCTCTGAAACAAATAATATATTATATGTTAAAAAAAAAAACAAAAGAAGAAGATAGCAGGAGGGGAAGAATGAAGGGGGAAAATCGGAGGGGGACACCAACCATGAGAGACTATGGACTCTGAGAAACAAACTGAGGTTTCTAGAGGGGAGGCGGTTGGGGGGATGGGTTAGCCTGGTGATGGGTATTAAAGAGGGCACGTTCTGCATGGAGCACTGGGTGTTATATGCAAACAATGAATCATGGAGCACTATATCAAAAACTAATGATGTAATGTATGGTGATTAATATAACATAATAAAATTTAAAAAAAGAAAAAGAAAGAGGGGGAAATTGATGTTATGGTTAAAAGTAACAACTCTCCAAGTATATAGAAAGAATAGTAATTATATATATGTAAATATTATATAAAAAACATAGTTTTGTATATATATGTATATTTAGAATTCCTATTATTTTTTTTCCAATTAAAAAAGTAACTAGATATAGTCCCAGAAAAAATGCTCAGTACATAGTAGGTCCTAAATAAATGATAGTTATTTATTTATATAATTTAAAGTAATATGTTGATGCTGTGGGATTGTTGAGCACGACAGTCAAAAGAGAATTCTTGAGATGTTTTACAGTGCAACTTAGTAAGTTTATTTAAGTAGCATGGCGACAGGACCCATGGGCAGAAAGAGCTGTACTTTTTGCTGTATGAAGCTGGTGGTTATATGCTTAGTGCTCAAAGGAGAGGGATATGCAGGGAGTATTACATCATAAATGTCTTCTTCAAATAACTACTCATAAAACTGCTTTCACAATATTTCTCTGGTGCTTATCATTCAGTTCATGGTAACTATCAGCGAGGTTTACAGGCAGTCATAAGGCCCTTTAAGAATGTAGCAATTAGGGCACCAATGTATGGCTTGAACTTACAACCTTGAGATCAGGAGTCACATGTTCTACCAACTGAGCCAACCAGGTACCTACCATTTTTTTAAGATTTTATTTCCTTCCTTCCTTCTTTAAAAAAAAAAAAAGAATGTAGCAATTAGCACATAAGTGATCCTTATTGAAACAATGCAGGCTACTTAGGTCAGTTTTTTGAACTAAAGGTAGACATTTTTTTGCTTCTCTCCTCACTGTGACATTGTTTGTAATATATGTAATCATAAATTTCAAGGGAATCAACATATAGAATATTTTTGAGCCAATGATTTTACAGGAAGCAAAATTTTGTATTATTAAGGACATTAAGTTATACATTAATTTGAATAATATAGATTTCTGATTTAAATAATTTGTTAAATGCTTTATATGAATGGTGATAATTAGGTATAATTAAAATAGTAAAATATTTTTATGTTGAACATCATTTAATAATCTTTCATCAAAAAATGACAGAACCCAAGAGTACCTGGATGGCTCAGTCAGCTAAGCATCAGATTCCTGGTTTTGGCTCAGGTCATGATCTTGTGGGTTGTGAGATAGATCCTGCACTGGGTCTCCACACTTAGTGGGGAGTCTTCCTGAAGATTCTCTCACTCTGCCCCTCTCCCCTCTCAAAATAAATAAATATTTTAAAAAGTAACAGAAACCATATTTTCTCAGTGTGTTTTTTTCAAGTTTTCCAATTTTGTTATTACCTCAGACTTCTTAATTTTTGTTTCACATAAACATAAATTTACCTGGGCAAATTATTCTTTTCAAGTTGCTGAAGGTCATTTATGTGAAAGACCTTGAACTGTGAAATAAATACAAATGAAACTTAAATTAGCATCATAAGTAGTTCAATAAAATATTTTAATTATATGTAAACACTTTTAACATGTTTAAAATGTCATAAAATTTTTAATTTTACGTGTTTCTTGAATGTTTTTCTATTGTCACAATGAAAATATTTCAATTTTTAAAAATTGATTCAGAAAGACTATGAAGATTGGTGTACTTAAAACCCTGCTATGAACCAATATATTGAAGGTGTCCAATAAGTCTATCTAAGAAATTATCAAATATTTAATGCTATCATTACAAGCATGTAGTTAGTGAAAGTAGAAAATAATTTTCTACCACTACTACCACTGCCATACAAATGTATGTTTATAATAAAGCATATGCACTGGAGAGGTGAAAGCAAAAAGAAGCAAATTGTATGATTGAACACTCTGAATCTAATGAGAACTGGAACCCAAAGAAGCTAATGATATGATTTGTGTCTCTTTGTATCTGTATCTATGGTTTATAATCTACCAAAACTGGCAACTGTTGGCCGAAGTTTTGCCAACCATTTACCTTTTCATGTTTTAGCTACCATGCAAAAGCGTCTGAAGAAGGAGAAAAAAGCCAAGAGAAAATTGCAGGAAGCCTTGGAATTTGAATCAAAGCGCCGGGAAAAAGTGGAACAAGCACTTAGGCAAGCCACTACTAGTGACAGTGGCCTGAGGATGTTGAAAGGTAATGTCAGATTTGGACTTTCACACTCAAGGTACACAAAGAAAAAAACCCATTTTAAAAAAGAGAGAGAGGGAGAAGAAAGAAAAAAAGAAAAAAAAAGAAAGAAAGAAAGAAGAAAGAAAAGAAAGAAAGAAAGAAAGAGAGAGAGAGAAAGAAAGAAAAGAAAGAAAGAGAGAGAGAGAAAGAAAGAAAGAAAGAAAGAAAGAAAGAAAGAAAGAAAGAAAGAAAGAAAGAAGGAAGGGAGGGGCAAGCTCTGTTCAAGAATAAAAAATCAATTTGAGGCCAAGTGCTTTAGTTATTAATTAAATGTATCAAAATAATCCCTCTTCTGGGAGATACAAAAAGCCTAGGAATAACAGGAAATCCTGCTGACTTTTGCAGTAGCAGCAGTAATACTGATAACTCCTTGCACCTAAAATGTAAGTAATTTATGTCCATTCATATTAAAATATGCTGATGATTGGTGTACTCTATTTTAATGAGTTATAGGATGCTGGTTTCTTTAATGTAGATTGCATCAGTGTTGAGGGTTTAAGGAGGGCCTGGATGAAAAAAAAATTTGTTCTAAGTACATTCCTGGAGATTCTATGAGAAGAGATGCTTCTGTCATGAAATATCTTAATTCCAAATTTTTCTTATTACATTTTCGATTATGAAACCGCACATCATTTCATCTCATAAAATATTCAGTTTCTTCTTTCATAGCACATTGACAGCTTATATTTTTAACTGACATGTTAAATATACATATGTATATTAATATGTGTGTATAGCAAGTATAAGCCTAAGAATTTTACACACACGTACACATACCCCATACACATAAAACTAAGAGGGTGCTGCAGTGTCCTATACTAAGAATGAGTAGAAAATTTTTTATAAATGTGAGTCATATTCTTTCTTTCCAAAAGTTCAGTTCCCTTTTTACTGTGACTGTCTTGGATCATTGTGCTCACAATCAATAGAAATACAATGCTAGATTATTAGCTCATGCTAACCATGCCTCGTTGAGACACAGAATAAAAAAGAGTAAGTAATTATACATTAACATTTTACACAATGGGACATCTTAGTGGGAGCCAGCATCCTTGCTTATTAAAGGTTTTAAAAATAACATTTCTTGAGTAGCAATGGGACATATGTTCTGTGCACTCATTATTGTTATTTGAGGCCCTGAACTTGTCATTCTGAAGTGGTTTGACTTTGTTTTTACATATTTAAAATCCGCCCATAATTGAACCCCATCTAGGTCTAGCTTTTCTATCATGAAGGAAAAACAGCTGTTTCTACAGCATGATGGGTAGCTTGTATTCAAATCGTTTTCTTATCTTAATCTTTGATGGCATTGGGTGATACATTGGCATCTATTATCACATTACCAAGAGTGTCCAAGTGAACGTGTATATACAGAAATGCTCATATAAAGCTGTGCTTCATGGATATGGATAGCTTTTAGATAATCACATCTCATATTTAAAATTGAAAATAAAAACCTAACTACTTCTTTTTTCTCAAATTTTTTTCAAAAACAATTTGTGTATCTTTTTGTCCTTATAGCCAGTACTGCATAAAGACCACAAACCATAACTTGTGCTTTGGTGTTCAGTGTGCTTAGCATAGAGATAACCTCATCATCTATCACATTTTACAATGAAAATTATAGCATAACAATGGGGAACTTCCATTTATGCAATTGTATCGATCATTTTCTTATTTTACAGTCAGGTCATGTTACCTGATAGTCTGAGGGGATTATTTTCCTGAGAATTATATCTAGAGAATGAAGTAAATAAGTATTTACTATATACTTGAAACTCTATGCCAAATTGTAGAATTCAGCTATAGTTTATAATCCTCCCCCTTACCATTAAAAACAGATATACAAAAACAAAAATTCCATCCAAGGTCTTGTGTTATCTATAGGACCAAATTACTGGTTTCATTTTAAGTAGAATCAGGAAAAAAAATAGAATTGTACCTTAATCTTTTTTTTTATTTTTTTTAAAGATTTTTATTTATTTATTTGAGAGAGAGAGAGAATAAAAGAGAAAGCACATGAGATGGGGGGAGGGTCAGAGGGAGAAGCAGACTCCCTGCCGAGCAGGGAGCCCGATGCGGGACTCGATCCAGGGACTCCAGGATCATGACCTGAGCCGAAGGCAGTCGCTTAACCAACTGAGCCACCCAGGCGCCCCCTTAATCTTTTTTTTAAAGATTTTATTTATTTATTTGAGAGAGAGAGAGAGAGAGAGACACAACATGAGAGGGGAGAGGGTCAGAGGGAGAAGCAGGCTCCCCGCTGAGCCGGGAGCCCGATCCCAGGACTCCGGGATCATGACCTGAGCTGATGGCAGTCGCTTAACCAACTGAGCCACCCAGGTGCCCAGAATTGTACCTTAATCTTGAATGTCACTTCTTTCAGATACTGGAATTCCAGACATTGAAATAGACAACAATGGGACTCCTCATGAGAGTACTGCTATGCAAGGTACAGTAAACAGCATACTCCTCTCTATAACTGTCGGATATGGGGTGGGCATGAGCTCCTATGTTGATATTCTTTATATAAATAAAAGAAATAAGTTTAATTCTTCTTACTTTATGGCAGAGGCAGAAGTCTTCAATGTTTTTTGAGATTATATACATAGGGACTAATAATTTTACATATACAATGTGGGCAAATTTCTTGTATGTTTAGCTGTTAAAAGGATGTTATTTATGTGTTAGACATATTCTAAAAATGCATAAATGTGAATATAATTTACCTTTCCAAAGTTTTTCAATAATATACTTTTAAAAATCTCACTAATGTTTGTAAAAGGCACAGGTAGAATAATCATAACTTATCAATATGTTTGATGAGTTTTAGACAATACTTTTTATCAACTTCTAAATTCCAATGCCAAATTTAGATAACTTGAGAAACCATATAAATATGGAAATAAGACCACAACTTATTCATGATTCTCAGGATTCCCATAAATGCTTAGATCCTTTAAAATATTTAAAAATACTTAGTAGTAAGAGAATAGATGAAACAAATCAATATAGAATTTCACTGGAGTGCAAAACAACCTGAAAAGAGAAATTGAATTTAACCACTGGAGTTTTTCTAGTCTGATTCTAATGCAGTTTTCTAGCCCTTTGTATGCAGATTACCTTTATTTTTTTGTTTAATATGAAAAAATGTCTCACTCTAATAAAAAAGAAAAGGTAACTCCATGAGAAAATGATCTCCTAAATTCAGAAAGCAAGACAATCGTGGATATCTTGCTTGCTAGAGGATTAACTGATCAATGCCTTTCCATTGTGTGATGACTGGATCTGCATGAAGGCAACAAAACTAGATGTGACTGAAAGATCCATTTGGGTTCTTTTGTGTGTCACCATTTATGTGTCAGTTTCAGAAAATTTAGAAACCCTCATTCATGTAGATTTGTCCATCATTTTTACAAAACAAGGAATGCAGAGCTCATAGATCTTCTGATAATGCCTGTTTCTACTGCAGTTGAGTAGACCTAATTAATGCGTTAATTTTGCGAAGTGTGAAAGCATGTATGTTTAGTTCATTCAGTGAAGCTTTTGATATTTCTTATCCCTCTTTTGCTTGCCTGCTTTCTTCCCTCAATTTAAAAGCTGTGTCAATGTGACCAAAGTCAATATGGACGAGACTCAGTGTTTGTCCAATCAATTCACCACAGTTAAATTTATGAGGAAAGTCCTACTAGTTGTGGGCTACCACTAGTTGAGTTTGCTACCACATAGTGGGCCAAGGTAGGGTTGAATAAGCCTGAAGCTTTTAATGACTTCTTAATTTGTGGCACACAAATATAGACCCAGTCTTTTATGGAACATTGAGTTTGATTGTGCCCCTCCTTTGATGGGATATAAGGTCAGCTTTGGAACTGGAGAGGTTAAAGCAAATGCACCATCAGTGGGTTGTATCTTTATTATCCTTTAATCTTATACTTTCAATTCATTGTTCTTTGTTTAATGTATATGGTGACTTTAAGTTGCAGCAGTAACATCTTTTCCAACTCTGAAATAAATACAAGCATTTTTTACTGTCTTAAAGTTATTTAATTTCCATGCAACAAAAAACAGATATCTTATTCATGGGAGGTTAGATATAAATCAAAAGCCTTCTATTTGGTTTAAATTTCCTTATTTTAACAAAACCTGCAAAGAATAGCTTTTGCATATTAATTTGTGATCAGGGTAGGACACATTTAATATATATTTTCATTGAGCATACTTTTAATAAGTTCTATTTTTTGCTGGCTAAACATGAGGGAATTAGTACACTTTTAAAAGGATTAAGACAGAATTTATTTTGAAGCAAGGGAATTAACTTTTACTACTTTTTTCAAATTACAGATCAAATTGTCTAATAATTGTTAGTCTCAATACATGGTAAAGTATGGTGTGTTAATAATTACTTATTGAATATCTGCCTTTTAGGTTATGTTAAATAATCTTGATAAATGTAATGAAAATGGAAAAGTACACATTCTCATCTCTCTTAGCATAGCATTTAAGCACTATAAATGGTAAAGTTCCCATCATCAATTTATGGAAAACTAGAGTTAATCCTTTGTGTTAATATGACAGTAGAATCACAATTTAATATCTAAAATAAGTTTATTTTTTGAGCAAAAAAATTTTATTAGCCCATAGGATAAGTGCCTGAAAATATTATCAGAACTATTTTGCATATAGTTCACAAAATCAATCAATTCAAATAATTACCTGAAAATCCCAGTAATATTACTTATTATTTAAGATGTTCAGTATTGAAAAATTACTTTTATATGCATTTATGAACTTCAGAAAATGTATAATGCCTGGAAAACATAAAATGCAAACTTAGCCATTATTTTTTCATTCTTCCTAATACTTTTGTTCTTGTGTGTTATAGCTTTTATCTTTTGGGACTTATTTTGATACTGACTTCATCTTTCCATTTCCCTCAATTACCCATTTTTTATCTTGGAAAAGTATTTGCTAGCATTGTTTATGAGGGTCAATTCAAGCATGCCAATCCAGTGCCATTTCCAAAACTCATCTTTATCACAGCAAACAATTCTAGCATCAGTGAAGCGTTTTCTCTTCCTATTGTCAATAGCTCTGCTGGATAGAAATCTATCAATCACCCAGTGTTCTCGCTTTTGAAATTAAATCAGTTCCAATGGGATATCTCCTTAAAAGTTTTAAAGAGGACTTGGAAGAATGTTGCTTGGCCCCCTTTAAAAGTAATAAAGTCATATACAGATTTATGATAATTATCACATGCTACTAAGATTCTTATATGTATTCTAAATCTCTTTACCTTAGTTATTTCATGTCTTTTATGCTTCGAATGTTGTTTGACAGACAAGGTATGCATAAGCCACCTTTTGTAACCCTTATTTTAGCGGTCTATTATAGCAGCTTCTTCTGAATATTTTAAGGTGATCAAACAATGAATACATATTCATTCTAATGGCTCTGTCCACTATTGATGGAGGTGAAGGATTCGGTGGAGCATATACAATAATATTGTCCCACCTAGATTCACAGAACTCAGTTGAGGACCTGCAAGACAGCACATTAACCATCTTATCATCCAATCTCTGTTTCACATAAAATAAACATACTGGGTGTCATAAGTGCACCTTCAGATCAATGATTTCTGCAAATGACGTTCAAGTACCATTTGTGTAGTGCATTTCTGCTGATAAAAGCAAATTAAATTAGCACAGCTACAAGTGCACTGATAAAAACTAAAACTGAACAGCAGTACCATTAGCTAACAAAGTAATATTTTCTCTTTACTGTGTTCTGCCATTTAGTTATTATCCTATCGGAAATCTAATTATAATCCTTTTACTCCCTAGTCAAACTTCAGTTTTTGCAAGCTTAGCATTGACAAGTGATTTCATTACATTTGATTGCCCGCGCCCAGATTGACTTAACTTCACTTGGACACCTAAAAACCCTCTCAGTTTCTTAGATTCCCTATTTGCACGTTAGAGCAACAGCTCCTTTAATTAATTAGCACGACAGCAGTAACATGAACTGCTGAACAGAAAATAACATCATTTTATGATCACAGGGAGACTTCTTTTGCATGTTTATACCTTAGTTAACTCTTGTATGACTATATTTCATTGTTAGGGGTTACTGGTACAGTTGACAGTGCATGTTCTTAAATTTTTGAAAATTGACCTCATCATATTAATAATAACAGATAAAACAAGCCCAAACTCTTAAGTTTTAGAAAACACACAACAGCCTTCATAAACTGACTTTCTAGGAATGAAATAAAATAAAAAATATTCAAGGGAGATAACATCATAAATTGCAAGGGCACAGTGACACATTGCTCCTGTTCTTGCCACTGTATTTGTTTGGGGAAAACGAAACAAAACAAAATTTAAAAAACAAACAAATTAGAAACTGTTTTTGCAAGAAGAATGTCAATCTGTGCGAATAATTTTTACATTTGCTTTTTTTTGTCTACATGTTTGACCATGACACAAAATGATTTAACACTAGAATATATTTTTCCATAAATATGGTGGAATCTTAAATAATTTTCTTTCCTTTTGCTACTAACACTCTGGAAATAGATATTAAATCTAACCTACATGTTAAAAGTAAACCAAAATTTGATGCAAAAGATAAACCTACTAAAAATTTTTCTCTTCTGAGCCATTTTTGTTCAGAAAAATGTGAAAGCTTATTCAGAGAATATAGACTAGCCATTCTAAAATATAAAAAACATGATCTCATCTATGCAGCACTTGGTGAAGATGCCCCTGAAGAATTAAAAGAAGGTGACTAAAGTGTCATTTGACTCTAAAAGTAACAGACACAATTTTAACACTTCTATGCTAAAAAACACACTTATATCTTACAACATAATTTAATATATGTGTTTATAGTATAGAAATTTTAATCTATATTTATACTATGAAATATATATGAATATGTATATTCTCATCTACTCCCTCAAAATCAATTTGAACAATGTCTAGCCTTCCTTGACCTTTGAAACTTCCTTTTATTCCATCTTTGCTGCTCACTTGTTACCCAGAATAACATTCCTCCAATGAGATTCAGATGGCATGCCAATATTTATTGGAAACAATTACCCTTGGGCTAAAATTATTATTGCAGAATCTGGTAGAATAGCAATGAAAGTGATGGTGGGAGCAAATAAGGAGACTGGAAAAACTAATTGTATATGATTACTTGCCATGTATGTGATTTGACAAGAAAAACTAAAAGGAGAGCAGGTAGAATTTCTCTGTAGGCTTTTCTACTAATTCCCACCACATTGTGCTCTACATCTTTCTCTTGGGGTATCACAGACTACTTCCCGCCCTATCCTCAACAATCATTAATTGTCCTCCCCTTTTATGTCTCATACTATGCTGGAAGGTATACATAAGCACTTTAATAGTCCCATTGTAAAGTGGAAATGTTCTTTTCTAAAGTGTATAGTGTGTCAGAGATTAGAAAGATTGTGGGAAGTGGGTCTTCTTTCCTCTTAAATGCTTCCTTTAAGAGTAGGAGCCTTTTACTACTCAGAGAAACTTTACTGCAACTGCCATCACAGAGTGAAAAAAGACTGTAGCACACACCCTACAGAGAAGATTTTAGCATTTTCCTCTAAAGCAGCAGTATTTTTTCCCTGTAAGATTCATTAGATGGTCCGAGTCTTTTTATTTTCTCCCCCAGGAAGTATTTCTCTCTCATTTTCTTCATCCTTCACAGGATTTTTATCTTGATTGATGGTACCTCCCAGACCATATCATACCTTTTTCTGTGAAATACCTGTCAGATTATAGCACACATTATGCTTTTAGTTCTTTCTAAGGAGGGTGTAAAGAGCTTACATTACTTGATGATTTAGGGCTTGGTTGTCAAGGGGTGGTTTGCACCACCTACCACTATATTGTTAACAGAATATTTGCAATGACTGAAATGCTGTCACACTAATGATGATAACATAAAGTCCCATCTGCAGATCTAAGACATACAATTCCAGTTACATCTCACTTACAAAATAGATGAAATTGTAATTGTAGTGATAGCAAGATAGTGAGACTTATAATCCAAAATAGGTTGCTCTGCTATTCAGCATTTTGGAAGTCTATAGAACTAATTCATTAATCAAAAGATCTTTCTGACTCTTACCTAGGAAGGGTTGTTTAACTCAACTCTATAACTGCTTAACCAGTTACTTTATGCTCCATCCTCTGTACTTATACATTTTTAAGCTTAAAATTCACTCTATCCCTCCCCAAACCCAGATAAGCTTGAGGAAAATGCAAAAGGAAAACTTTCTCTGATGAAAAGTCCCTCGTTAGCATAAAGTCTTATTTGTTTGCCATAGGGAACTTCTTTCGCATTTATAATAACCATGTAACAATCAATTTTGGAAATTAAAGTGAATTTAAAGAAAAACATTCTTTAGATTTTATACAGACCTACTTGAAGTCCCCTAATCTGTTGACCCCTACACTTTATAATTTACTTGTTTAATGTTTGAAAATTAACATTAGTAATAATCTGCTTACTTAAACTGCAATCTACTTATCTCAGTAATGCAAATGGTTATTTGGACAACATTTCACCAATTCCTCTTTTAACTTTAAAGAAAACAGCATTTTTATAAACATTTCTTCACTATTTCCCTGTTGCCCCATAAATTTTTAAGTGCTTATATTTACTTTTTAAAAAAATACAGATGAATATCATGTTGATCTCAGCATTGGTGAGTAGCCATTTACAATGGGTGAGGCATAACCTGCAACTCAAATTCTACAATCTCCTGGTAACTGCATTTCAACCTTCCATGGAAAATATCGGATGTGGTCATTTTTAATGTTCAAGTAAACATTTAATGTTTTCCCATTACTTTCATTTTCATTTTCCTCCATATTTTGATCACACATTTTAATTACTTTGAAATGTAGGATTATGGTGTTTTTCTATTATTTTAACATACAAAAAGAGTAGCTAAAAGTTGTAAAAAATAACTTAATTGTACTTTTAAATATTACATAAAATATTTACAATATGCTTCCTAAATAAAACTCAAATAAATTTGACCTTTACAAAATATTTTTAAAATATATGCTTATGGAAGGTGGCTAATACAACCTTAGATTTTTAGAGGAAAGACATAAGCAACTTACTACTTTTCACCATGGCATTACCTATAAGAAGTAGTGAAAGAATATGACATTCCACATGTGACACAAGTGCTTAGAATGGCTTAGTATGGCTCCTAACAAAGTCAGTGTTCCATAAATACTAGTTTTTATTTATTCTTCTTTCTTTTCCTTTCCTTTCTCTGTAGGAAAGTAGAATTCAAGTACATATAGAGCCCTTATTGTGGCTCAAAAATTGCAGGTCTGCGTACGGGACACATGCACTTTTATTGACATTTATATGTGGTCTGTGGGAGACACAATGTAGGAAGAGCCCTGGTCTAGTAGTCAGAATTTTTCAGTCACTAACTGGCTAACTCAGTTACTAAGCTTGAGAAGTAACTCAACCTATATCTTCCTTAATTTTAGTAAAATAGTAATTATTATATTTGCCTAATCATCCTCTTCAATAAGTTAGATCCATACTTTCTGACAAGTATGACAAATACAAGATTTCATTATTACTATTTCCAATAAAATACATATGAAGTTAGCATTTGTGTTTCCACGTGTAGATTTTAGTAGGAGTGAAATATTTGGCATATAATTGATGTATAAAACTTCCTTTAAAACATATTCTCTTCAGAAAAAAAAACATATTCTCTTCAGTATACAGTTATGGCAAATATATTTTTTATAATTTATCCTCATATGAGAATAGAAGGGTATATGCCACCTGTTTAGGGTGAGTCTTTCAAAGACTAGAGATTAAATAAAGGGGAAAAGGGGAAATTAAAGAATTATTTCACAAAAACAAAGTGAGTTAAAAGTGACAAGAGAGATTGATGTTCTATTGTGATACCATTTGCAAAGAAAAGGCAATCTGTACTGATCTTTGTTTTGATTAAAATATAAATCAGAAATTTGGGGTCTAATAAAGTCAACTGGTTATTATTTTCAAGAAATTCTCATTTTTTAAAAAAGATGCCACATCAGACCCTGTCAAAAAATGACTCTAAAACAATGTTTTCTCTAGAAGAGTAATCGAAAGCTATACTATTTTATTATCTACCCCTTTCTTGCATTAGTCTACTTTTCCTATTTTCAAATTAGTAGCTCCATATTTATACTACTGTACTAATATCTAACTGGACCCCAAACTGTTATCACTTATTTGATTTGATAATGGCACATTCAGAACATGTTTCCACAATGAAGTAGAACTCATACAATTGACTGAATATTTAATTTGGATTGAACCTAAGACTGAATAGGAGCATTAACCAGCACATTGTTTTATCTCTCTCTTATCCAGGTTAGGAAAACATGGCCTTTCAGATATGATCTTATTTAGTTCCAGATAATACAGTGCCCATTTGAAGATTAGAAACACATCGCTAGTTAAGCAACTTAAAGAAAACATAAAACTTACTACTTAGATGGAGAAATCGTTTATAAAATATTGCCATTAGTTCATGAATAAGGTAGCTACTGCAAAAGAAAGGTTTGATAGCCCCAAATATGCCTATGATGAAGCCTATCAGTTCTTAAGGAAATCTCATTGTCTTTTTAAAAGTTTTTATTTTAAATTCCAGTTAGTTAACATCAGTGTAATATTAATTTCGTGTGTACAATTTAGTGATTCAACATTTACATACAACACCCGGTGCTTATCAAAACAAGTGCACTCCTTTTTTTTTCCAAATTTTTATTTAAATTATAGTTGGTTAAAATACAGTACAATGTTGGTTTTAGGAGTAGAATTCAGTGAATCATCACTTACATACAATACCCAGTGCTCATCATATCAAGTGCACTCTCTAATCCCATTGTTTATATAAGTGAATAAGTGGTGAGGAAACACTTGAAAGAAAATATGAGCTCTGGGTAGGAAAAATAACTTTTTCTAAACATAAATTGAACCTTCAAAAACATAATAGACAAATTTCTTTGCAGCTTTTTTTTTTTTAATACAGTCTTTCCGTTATGGAATGAACAAGTTGTAGGAATAAAAGGCACAGCATAGAGAATACAGTCAATGATATTGTAATAGCCTTGTCTGGTGACAGATGGTAGCTACACTTGTGGTGAGCATAAAATAACATATAGGGATGTTGAATTACTATGTTGTACACCTGGAGCTAATGTAACACTGTGTGTCAACTACTCAAAAAATTAAAAATATAAATACACAGTGAGAAGTTACTTTTAAATAACCATTCTCTGAGGGAAGGAAATCTCATCCAGAGGGGAAATTGCAATCATTAACAAAGATTTTGACTCAGGGAAAATGGTGTGGATCTTTATTCATGTTTTAGATTATGAAGGGGGAGAAACCTTTCTTAATGCCTTGCTTATTAAGCTAGTCATGCATTTCACTGCAGATTGTAAAACAGTAGAACATGCACAAGGGGCTCATAAGCATATTTTAGAGTTAGGAAATATCATTTACACTATTTTTATATTGTCAATATCACCCTGAGAGAATAAGATTAAGCTTTAAACTACTGTAAATCTACAGTTTTGCTCACCTTTGTATAATTTCATTTTTAAGAGATTGAAACTCACACCAATGAATATATGTTAAAGGGATAAGTCTAATAAAATAATACATTTATTACACAGAGATTCATTCAAATCTTGAACATATATAGCACAGCAAAATACTATTAAGCCATTTTGT